TTTATGCAATCTCTTAAATGTAATCCCCTATAAAATCAAAATCAAACAGCAGATCACATGTTTCTAACATATAACAGCACAGGATATAAATAACCATTCTAAAACATAGGGAAGGGAGCATAATGAGAAAGTACTGGACCAAATCAAGACCAAAAATCACCTGTACAAACTCCAAACTCTGCATCTCCATGTCTGGTGTCAAAATGCTCTTCAGATCTCTAAATTCTTTCAGCTTTGTTGACTGCAACACACTTCTTTCTTTTGCCTGGTTCTACCCCCTGTTAGCAACTCAGGAGGTCTCTGATGGCTCTGGCATCTCTAACATCTTGATGTCTCCAAAGCAACTTCAACTTCACAGCTTCATGCAATGGTCTCTCTGGGCCTTCATTCAGGGACAACCTCCTGACACACACTTGGCCTCAGTGGTTTTTGTTAGTTGTGAAAAGGAGATTCCATTCACACAATGGCTTCTCTGAGCCTCCATACAGGGACACTCTGCCACATATCTGGCCTCAGCAACTTTCCTTAGTTATGGAAGGAGATTTGATAACCTCCGAAGCCAGAGCCACATAGTTGAAGCTGCCAAGATCTGCTGTTTGTTGGGGCTGGAAAATGGTCCCCTTGTTCTATTACATCTTCACAAGCTTTCTGTTTTTAATGGTTTCCTTTACTGGCTAAGCTTGGCTGTCCTGGAACTTGCTCTGTAGACTGACTTTGAACTCAGAGATCTATATGCCTCTGTCTGGAGAGTGCTGGGACTAAAGGTGCATACTGCCACACCTGGGCCTAAGCTTTTCTTTACTTGGAAATTGCTCTGAAGGCCAGGATACCCTTGAACTCAGAGAGCGGCATTCCTCTGTCTCCTAAGTACTGGGATTAAAGGCATGCACACCATGCCTGGACATAAACTTTTCTTTACTTCATTTTCTGTATACACCTTTATAACCAGAGCCACTATCCCTCAAGATAGGGAATAAAGGTGAGTGTTGATCCAGGACAAAAGTGTATGTTATCTTACCTTGTGATCTAAAGAATCATAAGGTCTTATTTCAAAAGCCTGTACTTCACAGAATTGGAAAGTGTAAAAGAAATGCACAATTTCTAGAAATATATCACTTCCTAATCTTAAATCAGTATCAGAAAAACAATTTAAATAGACCTATGACCCCCTAAGGGAATGGAAGCAGTGACTAAAGGTCTCCCAACCAAATAAAGCACAAGGTCAGTTGGCTTTACCACAGAATTTCAAAACACTTTCAAAGAAGAGCTTATACCAATATTTCTCAAATTATTCCACATAATAGAAACAGAAGGAACACTATAAAATTTATTTTATGAGGCCACAGTCACTGTGAAATCAAAACCACACAAATACTCGACAAATAAAGAGAATTACAGACTAATTTCCCTTATGAACATCAATGAAAAATGCTCAAAAAATGCAAACTGAATCTAACAACACATCAAAAAATTATACAAAATGATCAAGTAGGCATCATCTCAGAGATGCAGAGATGGATCAACAAATGCAAATCTGTCAATGTAATCAACTATATAAGCACACTGAAAGGAAAAAAAGCATGATAATTTCATTAAATGCTGAAAATAGCTTTAACAAAATCCAATAACCCTTCCTGATAAAAGTCTGGAATAGATAAAAAAAAAAATACAAAGTACATACCTAACATTATAAAGACAATTTACAGCAAGCCTATAGTGAATATCAAATTAAATGCAGAAAAACTCAAAGCAATTCCACTAAAAGAAGGAACAAACCAAGGCTGTCCTCTCTTTCCATATCTATTCAAGACACTACTAAAAATTCTAGCGAAAACAATACTCAATTCTATATTGGAAAAACAAAAACCAAAAACAGCTAAAACAATCCTACATAATAAAGGGACTTTCAGAGAATCAGCATCCCTGATCTCAACCTGTATTACAGAACAGCAATAATAAAAACTGTAAGTGTTGGCATAAAAACAGACAAGTTTATCAATGGAATCAAACTGAAGATACAGAAATAAACCCACCCACCTAAAACCACTTGATTTTTAACAAAGAAGCCAAAACCGTACACTGGAAAAATGACAGCATCTTCAATAAGTGTTGCTGGTCTACCTGTATGAGTGCATATAAAAAATGCAAATAAACTCAGCATAAAACTTGAGTTCAAGTGGCTCAAAGACAGGGATATGGGGAAAGTGGGTGGGATGGTGGGACTGGGAGGAGAGGAGGGAGTGGGGTTTAGATTAGGATGTAAAATAAACAAATTAATTAATGAAGAAAAAAACTAAATCTAATAGATAAGAAAGTAGGGAACAGCCTTGAACTCACTGGCACAGGAGACAACTTCCTGAACAAAGCACCAAACAACTCAGAAACTAAGATCAACAATCAATAAATGGGGCCCCATAAAACAAAAAGCCTTCTGTAGGGCAAAGAACACTATTGATAGGACAAAATGGCAGCCTAGAGAATGGGAAGTGATCTTCACCCATAGTACATCCAACACAGGGCTAATATACAAAGTATATAATGAACTCAAGAAATAAACACAAACAAACCAAATAACCCAATTTAAAAAATGGGGTACAGAGCTAATCAGAGAATTCTCAACAGAGGAACCTGTAATGGCCTAAAAGCATCTAAAGAAATGTCCAACATCCTTAGTTATCAGGGAAATGCAAATCAAAAAAAAAAAAAAACAACTCTGAGATTCCATCTTACACCTATCAGAATAACTAAGATCTAAAATTCAAGTGCCAGCACATGCTGATGAGGATGTAGAGCAAGGGGAATATACTTCTCTACGGCTGCTGGGAGTGCAAACCTGTATAACCACTCTGGAAATCAATTTGGTAGTTTCTGAGAAAATTGGGAATAAATAGTTCTACCTCAAGAACCAGCTTTACGAATATTGGGTATATACCCCCCAAAATGCTCCACTGTACCACAGGAAACTTGCTCAACTATGTTCATAGTAGCTTTATTCGTAATAGTCAAAATTTGGAAAAAACCTAGATATCTCACAACCGAAGAATGGATAAAGAAAATGTGGTACATTTACACAACAAAATACTATTCAGCTATCAAAAACAAGGACATCATGAAAGTTGCAGGCAAATGGGTGCATCTAGAAAACATCATCCTGAGTGAGGAAATCAAGACTCAGAAAGACATACATGAAATGTACTCAGTCATAAATGGATTATTAGCCATAAAGTACAGACTGAAAAAAAAAAGCTAAGTATCAAGAAGAGCCCAAAGAAGAATGCTTGAATCTCACTCAGAAGGAGAAATAAAATAGACATAGAAGGTAGAGAGAGGGAGGGAGGGAGGGAAGGAGAGAGCTGCTGCGGCAGGGAAGAGGTTGAGGAAGGATGCAGGAGGAATCAAGTGTGAGGATCACGGAGGATGAGAGAATGGAAATCAGAGGGTGTCTACTCAGGGACACGTAGTAAGAATCTGACTCAAAACAAACAAATTAAATGAATAGACTTGAAAATTAAGTGGTAGGAATCAAGGACCTAGTGACATATTGTACAGAGGAAGATGGAAAAGTGAGACCAACTGTTAATTATCATGTATTACCTTTGGGGGCTGTCAAGGCCTTCATAAAGGGATTTTAAGAGAGGTCTGCATTGTAGGGAGAGACCTATCAGAGGTAGGCTTCATCCTATTGAATGGAATTGTCTTGGCCAACAGCCTGTCATAGAGATCTCTCACCCCATACGTTTCACAGCATGATTCCCAGAGAGTCATCTTACCGCATGTTCCTCACAGCATGACTCCAGTAAAGAAAAGACAGAATTAGCGCAACTGTCAGTGAGTACATAAACAGACAAAAAAAAAAAATGTGGTGCATAAAATGTTTCAGAAAGGAAATGCTGTTGATGGCAATTGGAATGAATCTGGAGGTATTACATGACATAAGCCAGTCACGGACTGACAAATGCCACAGGATCTCACTTATGCATGCAATGTAAAGGTATTCATCTCAGAGATAGATAAAATGAGAGTAGAATGTTTGTCTGAAGCTAGAAAGAGGATGGATGAGTAAGGGGAGATGCTGGTAAAATGTACAAAATTCCGTTTAGACAGAAGAAATATATTTCTCAAGATCTGTCATGCATGACAGTGACAGGTTGAGTCTTTTAAAATGCCAATAGTAAGAGCTGGAGGGAACGGGAACTCCACAAGCAGAGCAACAGAACAAGATAATTTGAACACAGGGAACTTCCCAGAGACTCATACTCCAACCAAGGACTATTTGTGGAGATGACCTGGAACCCCTGCACAGGTGTAGCCCATGGCAGTTCAGTGTCCAAGTGGGTTCCATAGTAATGGGAAGAGGGACTGCCTCTGACATAATCTGATTGGCCTGCTCGTTGATCACTTCCCCCTGAGGGGGGAGCAGCCTTACCAGGCCACAGTAGAGGACAATGCAGCCACTTTTGATGAGAACTGATAGACTAAGATCAGAAAGAAGGAGAGGAGGACCTCCCCTATCAGTGGACTTGGGGAGTGGCATGCATGCAGAAAGGGGAGGGAGGGTGGGATCGGCAGGGGAGGAGGGAGGGGCTCATGGGGGGATACAAAATGAATAAAGTGTAATTAATAAAAAAAAATAAAAGATTAAAAAAAATGCCAATAAGGTGGATACACAACATTCTCAACATAAAAAAAATGACTCTTTTCAGAGGTGATTTCCATGTAACTTAGACTTATTTAATCATAGCATAATGTAAATACACATCAAAAGAACATGTTGCATTCCATAAATATATTGGTCAATTAAAAATAGTTTAAACAAGAAAACAAAGAAATAGAGGCGGGAAAAGGGAAGAGAGATGAAGGTTGTATATTTGGGAGTGTTTATGACTACAGAGAATATTCAAGGTTCTCCCTCCATCCCTCCATCTCTCCATCCCTCCCACGTGCCCACATTCCTCTCCAAAGCTGCCCATTGTGCAGAAGCAACTGAAGACATGACTCACCATCCTGTGTGTTAGTTTTCCGTCCCAGGCACAGCACTGAAAGAGAAGTCCCAGTGAGAAGGACACTCACCACATGGTTTGCTTTAGAGATGAGACTCTAGGAAGGACTAAATGCAGCTGGGGACATCCAGCCTCCCAGGAGTACCCAGCCATTCCTCTCCCGCATTAATGTCAGAGCATAGTCCTCCTTGTTCTGAAAGAACTCTAAAATATCCTCAAGACCAGAGATGAAGACTAGACTCAAAACCCAGCTACTCAGTCCGACCAATGTTCAAGTATTAGTTGGGCTAAAAAGTGAGTTTAAAGACAGTCTGAGCATCATAGTGAGACCATGTCCAAAAACCAAAAGGAAAATGAGGGCTGATTCCCTAGCAAAGGGGCTATTGGCTCTGGGAAGGGAGAGTTAGTTTTCTCTAAGGGCATGGCTGCTAGTAGGTTGACCATGCTCCAACAGATGTCTGCACACCCTTGAGTATATGGAAAGCACAATTTACATTCATTGGATTTACATTTTACACAATTTACAGTCATTGGATCATTTTTTAAAAGATGACAGAAAGTTGGGGTGGGAGATAGATATGAAGTTAAGCAAGAATGGGGTAAATATGATCAAAATGCATTGCATGAACTTATGAAATTCTCTGAAAAGTATTTTAAATATATTTAGTAATGACAATTTATTTATCATTATGCCCATAGATTAATGCATCCTCCAACCCTTATCTGAGAAGTTTCTACTAGCTGCAGATGGAGATTAACACAGAGACCCATAACTGGACAAGGTGTAGAGAAAAAGGCTGCAGAATGCTCAGCCTTAAAGGGAATGCATGTACTACGCATCTCCTCCTCCCAAGGCTCAGGGAACCTTTGGGAAGAGGGGGTGAAAAGAATGTTAGATGTCTTCAGGGACTAGAGTGTGTTCTGAACATAGAGGGCAACAGCATATAGAAACTCACAGCAGTTGCGGCAGCATACACAAGACCTGCGCAAGACAAGCAAGAACAAATACCAGAACTGGAAGGAAAACCCACATCACTGGTTAGCCTTGCAGCTACTGGTAATTGCTGGCTGCAGAGAGAGGGACAGTCAGTTTTCTTTAAGACTGTAGCCCCTAAAGCTGGTCTTAGTGGCTCATGCCTTTAATCCCAGCACTTGGGAAGTAGAGTCAGGTGGACCTGTAACTTCAAGGTCAGCTTGGTCTAAATAATGAATTCCAAGACAACCAGGAATACATAGCCAGACCCTGTCTCAAAAACAAAATAAAAAAATAATTTTAAAATGCTGTAACCCCTAGAAAGGCAACCTGCTCCAGTGCAAAACCACACACCAAAGAATACCTGGGCAGCACAAACTGGTCTTAAAAGGCTTACAAAAAATAGAACAAAGTTGAGTGGGTAGGGAAGAGAGGTGGCTCATGGAAGAGTTGTGGGAGAGTAATGGAAGAAACTCTCAAAGAACTAATAAAAGTTTTTTAAAAGAAAAAATTCTTAACAACACGAAACACCTGTGTCCTTAAAAACTGAAGAGAACTGGGATGTAGGAGATATGATTAGATGGTGGCATGCTTACCTAGCATGCTTGAGACCCTGAGTTCAAACTCCAACACTGGGAAAAACAAATATTCCCACATCATCATCCTCCAAACAGGCTCTTCCTAATTCCTTTTAAAGCTGAACTTGGCTGCATGCCTCATCCCTGTTCTGAGCAATATATCTGCAGAAGTATCTTCCAAGTAGGGACGGCATGGAGAGAATCTCCTACCAAAGGTTTCCAGAATCTCCTTGACTATGTTCAGGTCTGACTTGGGAATAGACTACCTTACCCATTTTTCCCAGGACTCACCGAGGGCCAGCATGGTGGCAGGATGAAGAGACATAACTCAGGCTCCAACAGGCTGACCTGAGCTGAAGTCCTGCAGCAGACACAAGAGACAGGATGTGGGCACTGGAGCTCATCACGAGGTTTCTATTTGAGTTTCTTAAAAAGAGGAAGAAGTTTCACCTCTGAACTTTCCTCTTTTTCCTTTAGTCACTGACTTCATGAGAAAGTCTCAGGTTCTAAAGACTGTGTGAGGCCCCTAAACTCATGTGCAACTGAGCTCATTCCTCGACCTGTTTGTCTCTCTGTAAATATGGAAGAACAAGATTGTACATGTCAGTCTCCATTATAGAAAGTAATGGCCACCAATCTTTGGGCAAGACATTTCAACACCCAAAGCTCACATTTTCTCATGTTTAAAATGAGAGTCATAACGTCTCCCCTAAATGTCTGATGTTGTGATCTTTGTAAAAATCTCAACCAGATATTTTACATGCACCCTGATATGGATAATGGTTTTGACTATTAAATAATATTGACTTTAAACCTCGAGGCTAGCCTGGTGGTGTGGACAAAGTGGGTCTAGGACAGCCATGGCTACTCAGAAAGACCCTGTATTAAAAAGTCAAAAAAAATTGATGTGTGTGTGAGATAGATAGATAGATAGATAGATAGATAGATAGATAGATAGAAGCAGTCAAAGGACAACTTGCTGAAGTTGGTTCTCTTCTTCTACTATTAGATCCCAGGGTTGTCAGAATCAGTAGTAAGCATCTTTAACCACTGAATGAGATGATAGTTTTAAAGGATAACAAATATAGTCAGGGGTGTGCAGAAATTGGATCCTCTTCTTACTGTTAACAGAAATGTAGGCCTCAACTGTAGATGGGGGTCTGGGTGTCTCTTACCTGCTGCTCACTGATCCAGGCTGGCAGAGGGGGTCCCAGGAAAAGGTGCAAACCAGAGAGCAATGTCTTTCTTCTTTCTTTCTTTTCTTTCTTTCTTTCCTTTCTTTCATTCTTTCATTCTTTCTTTCCTTTCTTTCATTCTTTCTTTCATTCTTTCTTTCATTCTTTCTTTCCTTTCTTTCATTCTTTCTTTCTTTCTTTCTTTCTTTCTTTCTTTCTTTCTTTCTTTCTTTCTTCTTTCTTGTGAAATCATCATGCTATTTCCACAGAGGAAGGTCTTTCTTCAGTCTGGTTTCCACTTTTTTTTACTAGTGGCATGGAGGGAGGGTCTTAGCTTCTCTAAAATGATTATTTTGTATTTGTGTGTGTTGTGTGTGTGTGTGTGTCAGGGTTTCTCTGTGTAGTTGTAGCTGTCCTGATACTCTCTCTTTAGACCAGGCTGGCCTTGAACTCATAGAGAGCCACCTGTCGCTGCCTCCTAAGTGCTGGGATTAAAAGCATGCACCACCATGCCAAGCTTCCAAAATTATTCTGATTCATTCTCTGGGAGGCAGCATTTTTCAGACCAAAAGTAGCCAAACACACAAGCACGCTACCATGGCCAACATCAATATCAAAGGATCTAACAGCCACTCGTCATTAATCTCCCTCAACATCAATGGACTCAATTCTCCAATAAAAAGACACAGACTAACAGAATGGATGAGTAAACAAGACCCAACAGTCTGTTGCATACAAGAAACACATTTAAATCACAAAGATAGACATTACCTGAGAGTAAAGGGCTGGAAGACAGTTTTCCAAGCAAATGGACCCAAGAAGCAAGCAGGAGTAGCCATCCTAATATCTAGTAAGGTAGATTTCCAACCAAAATCAATCAAAAGAGATAGAGAAGGACACTTAATACTCATCAAGGGAAAAATCCACCAGGAAGATATCACAATCCTGAACATCTATGCCCCAAATGCAAGGGCACCCACATTTGTAAAAGAAACTTTAATAAAACTTAAATCACACATAGACCCACACACAATAATAGTGGGATACTTCAACACCCCACTCTCAACAAAGGACAGGTCAACAAAACAGAAATTAAACAAAGAAACCATGACTCTGACAGAGATCATGAATCAAATGGACCTCACAGACATCTACAGAACCTTTCACCCAAACACAAAAGAATTTACCTTCTTCTCAGGACCTCATGGAACCTTCTCCAAAATAGACCATATAATTGGTCACAAAGCAAGCCTCAACAGATACAAGAAGATTGAAATAATCCCTTGTATCCTATCTGATCACCATGGACTAAAACTGGACTTCAATGACAAAAATAGCAAAAGGCCTACACACACATGGAAACTGAACAACTTGCTTCTAAATGACAGCTGGGTCAGAGAAGAAATAAAGAAAGAAATTAAAGACTTCCTAGAATTCAATGAAAATGAAGGCACAACATGCCCAAACTTATGGGACACAATGAAAGCAGTGCTAAGAGAAAAGTACATAGCACTAAGTGCCTTCAAAAAGAAATTCGAAACATCTCATGCAAGCAACTTAATGGCTCACTTAAAAGCCCTAGAAAAAAAAGAAGCAGATACACCAAAGAGGAATAGATGGCCAGAAATAATCAAACTCAGGGCTGAAATCAATAAATTAGAAACAAAACAATTCAAAGAATCAATGAAACCAAGAGCTGGTTCTTTGAGAAAATCAACAAGATAGATAAACCCTTAGCCAAACTAACTAAAAGGCAGAGAGAAACTATCCAAATCAACAAAATCTGAAATGAAAAGGGGGACATAACCACAGACACAAAAGAAATGCAAATAATTAGATCTTACTTCCAAAGTCTATATACCACAAAATTTAAAAATCTAAATGAAATGGACAATTTTCTTGACCAATTCTACATGCCAAAGCTGAATCAAGACCAGGTAAATCAATTAAATAGTCCTATATCCCCTAAAGAAATAGAAGCTGTCATCAAAAGTCCATGCAAAAAAAGCTCAGACAGGGCCAGATGATTTCAGCGCTGAATTCTACCAGACCTTCAAAGAAGAGCTAATACCAATTCTCTTCAAACTATTCCACAAGATAGAAACAGAAGGAACACTACCAAACTCATTCTATGAAGCCACAGTCACCTTGGTACCTAAACCTCACAAACACCCAACAAAGAAAGAGAATTTCAGGCCAATTTCCCTTATGAACATTGATGCAAAAATACTCAACAAAATACTTGCAAACCGAATCCAAGAACACATCAAAGACATCATCCACTACGACCAAGTAGGCTTCATCCCAGGCATGCAGGGGTGGTTCAATAAACGGATCCACCACATAAACAAACTGAAAGAGAAAAACCACATGATCATCTCCCTAGATGCTGAAAAGGCATTTGACAAAATCCAACATCCATTCATGTTTAAAGTATAGGAGAGATCGGGGATACAAGGCACACACCTGAACATAGTAAAGGCGATATACAGCAAGCCTATAGCCAACATCAAACTCAATGGAGAGAAACTTAAATCATTCCCACTGAAATCAGGGACAAGGCAAGGCTGTCCACTCTCTCCATATCTTTTCAACATCGTTCTTGAAGTCCTAGCTAGAGCAATAAGACAATTGAAGGAGATCAAGGGAATACAAATTGGAAAAGAAGAAATCAAATTATCACTATTTGCAGATGATATGATAGTATACCTGAGTGACCCCAAAAACTCTACCTGGGAACTCCTACAGCTAATTAACACCTTCAGCAAAGTGGCTGTATACAAAATTAACTCAAAAAAATCAGTAGCCTTCCTGTATACAAAGGACAAAAGGGCTGAGAAAGAAATTAGGGAAACAACACCCTTCACAATAGCCCACAAAAGACATAAAGTACCTTGGTGTGAACCTAACCAAGCAAGTCAAAGACTTGTATGAAAAAAATTTCCAGTCTCTGAAGAAAGAATTAGAAGAAGATATCAGAAGATGGAAAGATCTCCCATCTCATGGCTTGGCAGGATTAATATAATAAAAATGGCCATCTTACCAAAAGCAATCTACAGATTCAATGCAATTCCCATCAAATTACCAACAAAATTCTTTACAGACCTGGAAAGAAAAATTCTCAACTTCGTATGGAATAACAAGAAACCGAGAATTGCTAAAACAATCCTCTACAATAAAAGATCTTCAGGAGGTATCTCCATCCCTGATCTCAAGCTGTACTATAGAGCAACAATACTAAAAAACTGCGTGGTACTGGCAATAGAAACAGACGGGTGGATCAATGGAATCGATTAGAAGACCCTGACATAAATCCACACACTTATGGACACCTGACTTTTGACAAAGATGCCAAATTCATTCAATGGTAAAAGATAGCATCTTCAATAAATGGTGCTGGTCTAACTGGAAGTCTGCATGTAGAAAAATGCAAATAGATCCATACTTATCACCCTGCACAAAACTAAAGTCTAAGTGGATCAAAGACCTCAACATAAAACTAGACACACTAAACTGCTTAGAAAAAAAAGTGGGGAATACCCTTGAACTCATTGACACAGGAGAAAACTTCCTCAACAGAACACCAACAGCACAGGCTCTGAGAGCAACAATCAATAAATGGGACCTCATGAAACTGAAAAGCTTCTGTAAAGCAAAGGATACTGTCCTCAGAACAAAACGACAGCCTACAGATTGGGAAAAGATCTTCACCAATCCTATATCTGACAGAGGGCTAATATCCAGTATATATAAAGAACTAAAGAAGTCAAACAGCAAAAAATCAAGTAATCCAATTAAAAAATGGGGTACAGAGCTAAACAGAGAATTCTCTGTAAAGGAATATCGAATGGCAGAGAAACATTTAAAGAAATGCTCAACCTCATTAGCCATCAGGGAAATGCAAATCAAAATGACCCTAAGATTTCACCTTACACCCATCAGAATGGTGAAGATCAAAAACTCAAGAGACAACACATGCTGGAGAGGTTGTGGAGAAAGGGGAACCCTCCTCCACTGCTGGTGGGAATGTAAACTTGTACAACCACTCTGGAAAGCAATCTGGTGCTTTCTCAGACAACTAGGAATAGAGCTTCCTCAAGATCCAGCTATACCACTTCTAGGCATATATCCAAAAGATTCTCAGGTACACAATAAAGACATTTGCTCAACCATGTTTGTAGCAGCCTTATTTGTAATAGCCAGAAGCTGGAAACAGCCCAGATGCCCCTCAGTGGAGGAATGGATGCACAAATTGTGGTATGTCTACACAATGGAATATTACTCAGCAATAAAAAACAAGGAAATCATGAAATTTGCAGGTAAATGGTGGGATCTGGAAAAGATCATCCTGAGTGAGCAGAAGCAGAAAATGCACATGATATATGCTCACTCATATAGACATATAAGATAAACCTACTAAAATCTGTATACCTAAAGAAACTAATCTTTAGCAAGAGGGAGGACTCTTGCTAAAAGTCTCAATTCCTATCCAGAAAGGCAAAGAGGCTGGACATCAGAAGGAGAAAAGAGGGAACAAGTCAGGAGCCTGACACAGAGGACCTCTGAAAAATCTCTGCCCTGCAGACTATCAATGTAGATACTGAGACTTATGGGCAACCTATGGGCAGAGTGCAGGGAATCTTAGGAAAGAAGTGGGAAATAGTAAGATCTGGAGGGGACAGGGAATCCATAAAGAGAGCAACAGAACCAAAAAAATCTGAGCACAGAGGTCTTTCCTGAGACTGCTATTCCAACCAAGGACTATGCATGGAGATAACCTAAGACCCCTGCACAGATGTAGCCCATGGCAGTTCAGTGTCCAAGTGGGTTTCATTGTAATAGGAACAGGGACTGTCTCTGACATGAACTGATTGGCCTGCTCTTTAATTATCTCCCCCTGAGGGGGAAGCAGCATTACCAGGCCACAGAAGAAGACAATGCAGCCATTCCTGATGAGACCTAATTGACTAGGATCAGAAGGAAGGAAAAGAAGTGGACTATCAGTGGACTTGGGGAGGGGCATGCAGGCAGAGGGTGGAGGAAGGGAGGGATTCGGATGGGAGGAGGGAG